ACATTTAACAAAGTGCGTGTGGTGAGATGAAAAATTCTTTTTGAACCTGTGCAGGTGATTTAGACATTCTCATCACTAGAATTTCCACAAACTTTAGTATACGCCGCTAACGCATTTCATACATAGATTTGAAAGATGTGTAATCTGAATGGTGTTATTAGAAGACGGAGATTATCTGAAAAATGTGATGTATTTGCGCTAAACATTTCGAACTATCTGATCACACATTTACTTGTCAAGACGATAGATGTGGAAAAAAATTGAGGGTAGTTAAATTAAACGAAGTGACAAAGAATAGATTTAAGAATAATTAACTCAACGTTTGATAATCCAATCAAATAAGGATTAGGAAAGTAGGTTAAGAATAATGATAAACTGTTTTTGAATACACATGGGAGTGGATTGGCTTAAGTTCATGAACAACTGTAGTCTCAGTGTATTTCAATATGCGCCCTTGACCATTTTTATGGATAACCTTAAAGGCTGTATTAACATCAATCTTATGGTTCATGTCGATTAAATGTTTGGCCATAGACGAAGTTGTTCGTCGGCCACCTGCGTCTTTTGATTTTCCACAATTCATTTGTCTATCTAACCATTTCACGATATGCTCTCCCACCCTAACATTCAAAGCACGATTACTCGTACCTGTGTATGTGTCCACACACAGACAGAAGTACGCGAAAGTTGGTATGTAGTGTGGGATGTGACATAATCACTTGTGCACTTTCGAGGCTTGCAGTGAAGCATATTTTTAGCCTTTTCGACAATTACAAGCCGAGCTGCATAATAGGTCCTATGGATGACCGAATTCAATCTTTGTCTCAAAATCCTACTATTTATTTCCCCGTTGTATGGTAATTTGATGAAAACATTTTTCTTAGGGGTGGTATAGATTGTACGTTTGGAGACTAATTGACTTCTACACCTGTTTGAAAATTTTCATTTTCTTTCTCTTGTAACAAAAGACGTGTAAATATGCTGAATCCTCTTAAATAAGCATTTCACCAAGCTTCTCTTATAGTGTGATGGACAGAAGCTTTGCCCTATCCAACTAGTTTTTTTGTAAATTGATCGTCTTATTGAACCATCATCTCTTCGACTCAGAAATATGTCTAAAAGTGCAAGGTGCTCTCATGTCAGTCTTATATGATTCTGTACCGATTAAAGTCTATTTAATAGATGACTCGCATATTCATGATTACTACCTATCAAAATGATCTGGTCTACATATCTCCTACAGAAGAGAGAATTAGAAATCAAATCAAGGGACAAGTTTTCAACACAAGACATATTAAACATCCGCTAACAAATGTTCTAGTGGACTCCGCATAGCAACACCACCCACTTGTCGAAAGTGCTCACCTTCAAACGTGAAATGGACGTTGTCAGTACATGATGGTAGTAAATCTTTCAAATAAGTTAATAGAAAGGAATGAAAAACAACTAGAAGAAATATAGTCACAAAGAAAACCAACGGTATTAATCAAAGGTACATTAGTAAACAAGGAATTAATATCAAGGGAGTACATTTCCCTATCTTTTATGTCAATATCTACAAGACAATCATCAAGATCAAATGTATCTTTTGAAGTAAAGTTGTATAATTCGTTGCATACTGGACTTAAAACATCAGCTAACCACTTTGATAATTTATGTGTAGGAGAGTGATACATTGATAGAATTGGACGGAATGGAATATCAACGTTAAGAATCTTGGATAATCCATACACGTTTGGAAAGTCAGATCCCATTGGTTTCAGTGAATTAAACACTTGTTTATCGATAACACCCACGATACGAAGTTTTATTAAGTGCGAAGTTACCGTTCTTCCGACTTTCTGGTATCATCAGAAGGAACATCGGCTATGAATTTGCTTTCGTCGTTAAAAATGAATAATATTTTTGTTTTATGATCACTTTTGTGTATTACAAATATACCAGATCATTTGTCAGATTTCAGAATAACTGAATCGGCTCTAAATTAGTTGATGTCAAAATGTTCTTTTTGTTTCCTACTTGAATTACGGAATTGATATGATATATCTACAAAAAGAAGTTTAATCATCATTTCTATTTCGTATGTCTGCGGTCAGCTTCTCAACTGGAGAGCTTGGACGTTTAATTTCACCATGAGTAGATTCAGCAAACTCAATCTAATTTTATGTTAGATGGTTTGAAGCGGTTGACAGGAAGCCATAAACTTAGGCTTTATTCTGCTTCTGAAGCCACCTAGAAATATATACATGTATATAACACGAAACCCTTATTTGCATTGATCTGTAAGTCCTGTCTATGTACGTGGGAAGACAATCACATTTGATGGGAGATTATGTCATTATTTACGTGCTCTGAGTGCTTGGCGGTCTGTTTAAGTCACTAGGCTACCAGAATTTCCATCTATTAAAGTGCTTAAACTATTCTGCATTTCTTATTGTTTTAATTCAGTACTTATATCGAACGTACACTACATGAATTCGCCCACATATTTAATTAACTTTCAGCAAAACGCTGTGAAATTCTTGAATAAAATGAAGAGAAAAATATACAGAATCGGTGGTCTGTGCATGGGCGACAACACTACACCACAATATATACTTCATGAGTAGGTACCATATTGGAACCCGACACGCTAGGAATTTCTGTAATCCATGTCCACATATTGTCTGCAATGATGATTTATTATTATGCACACTTCGCATTCTCAACTATTTAGAGGTTAAGTACACAAATGGTCATTTTCGTCGGAGAAAATAACAATTTCCACAGGAAGTTGGCTGATACATATTAGTGCCTTTATTGCTTGATATTTGCTCATCAACTTCTCTCGGTAAATGATTACCTACAGTTTCTTTTCATTTACTTCCTTATCACTTGGATGTGGCATCTGCGAATATATCGTGAAGAGAAACGTGGTGATGTGTTTCAAAAATTATCTTCCTTGTATTCGAAGGACGTCATTTAGAAGAAATTCACTCTCAGTTACCTAACTATTTCACTTACAATACTTACACTGAAAATCATGACATCACCTTGATAAGACGAGGAAATATTTACACAAATACCTAACCTACATACTGAATGAATGGCCACAACAAGTGGTCTTAAACATCGACAAGTATCACCCATCCAATCACCAGTGAATCCAAAACTAGAAAATAGATAAAGTAAGTAGTTCTGTGTGTCAGTTGATTGGTTCCCCATCACAGTGTGTAACAATGAACCAGTTCCCGTCCGTCTTCTTCTTCTTCTTCTCCTTCTAGATACCTGTCACACTTTCAGCCCCAAATCCACCATACACATCACTCTCTCACTGAATATACACAATGTCATCTCAGAGATAGGATGAAATCTACAATCATGTTGACTCTCATACAACTATCTTACTAATCACGGGTTGGTTGACTGACAAACTGAAATAAACCAGCTAACCGGTGAATTACTAAACCCACACAATCTAGATTATTCACTTCAATAGCAGATGACCTGAAAGTCGAACAATTCACTTTACAAATATCGATATTACGTGAATGTGTGTTTGATTTATTTTCACTTGGTTCAAATATTGAGATGTCTGAATGAAAGCCATGTATGTGTGTGTGTATATATGTGCATGCGTGCATATGTTGATTAAGTCAATAAATATTTTCTACTGAATACATTTATAATATCAGCATCTAATTCTTTTGAATACACTGCGTACTCATTGACTGATTCTCCTGACATCACTCACCCTCCAACCATCTCACGACACACTCCTATCGCGACGAATCTAATTCTCCCATAATTCTCATTCACTTTCATAGGAGCTTATCTCACCTGTCCACCTCAACGATGATGGTCGTCATACTTCCAGCTGTGTCTACCATCTCATCTCCATCACAACTGTCATTTGACTAACTGTGTTAAGTGTACTTAGAGATGTGTGTGCCTCTCCGTTGACGCTACACCATCAATCCTCATCTACATCTTCAGTTGCCCTCATCAATCTGATTCCTATCACTCACATCATCATCATCATCATGAACTTTTAATTAATTGAATCTTCTCGTCACTAATTCCTACACGGAAAATATGTGGTCAGTCTCGCCCTAATCTCAACACACTATACCCACTCATTCCACCCACCCCACAGTTATACACACACTCTCTCACACACAGAGACACGGCTAGCTGTCCCTCACTCATGAGTCAACACACAAATTTACACTCTATCATCTCATTTGACATCACGTGACACAGACAGAAACGTCAAAATCTTAAAATGGAAGTTAGATTACTGGAATACAGTGTGAAAATCTCCAATGCACATATCTGTATCCAACAGAGAAAACTGATGGTGGGAATACAAATCGAAAAGTGCAAACACGTGATGGATTGAATGATTACTCTGAGAATTCTTAATCAGGTGATGTGGCTAACAGTACACACGTTGAGAGCAGATCTTGTGATGAAGAGTTCTCACCTAACTTATAATTGTGACATATTTGTTCAGATTGGAGAAAATATGTTTTACCACTGTGATGACCAGTGAGAAATAATGCGATTCTTACACCTATTTGAATCACGATCACGTTGTTTACTACATTCATCGGACTTGTAATATGATCTGTGAAATCGTTTCTACCTTTCTGATGAACATGATAAAGCTAATAGAATTGTGGGTGACGTTTATTTTGATTAAGTCCTACAGTTTCGAACACAATTTACAGCTCACAAATAAATTTCAACCACAATGGAATTATACACTACCACAGCGCACAATTTCTATTTTTATATCTATGACAAAACCAACTGACATATACCCCACAGGACTTCTCAATAAACACGTGAACAAAAATCAAAAGTCTAACATTAATTTTTAGATTTTTAGAACCAATAGTCATTTCATAATAGTATTCAGCAACTTGTGAGTTAGTATATGCATATATTTCTATTAAAGTTTGGATACAGAGCATCCACTCAACGAAATGAAATAAAATTCCATAGACTCCGGTAAATTAAACCTCTTCTTCGAAATCACCATCATTAACAGTTGCATCTTGATATTGTTGGTATTCACTCACCAAATCATTCATATTCGATTCAGCCTCAGTAAACTCCATCTCATCCATACCTTCACCTGTATACCAATGCAAAAATGCCTTTCGTCGGAACATAGCAGTGAACTGTTCAGAAACTCGCTTAAACAAACCCTGGATAGCAGTATTATTCCCGATGAATGTCACTGACATTTTCAATCCACGTGGTGGGATGTCACAAACGGCTGTCTTCACATTATTCGGAATCCATTCAACAAAATAACTCGAGTTCTTATTCTGCACGTTCATCATCTGCTCATCAACTTCCCTCATAGAAATACGACCGCGGAAGATGGCGGCCACAGTCAAGTAACGCCCATGTCGTGGATCACACGCAGCCATCATATTCTTCGCGTCGAACATTTGTTGTGTGAGTTCAGGAACAGTGAGTGCACGGTATTGTTGACTCCCACGACTAGTGAGTGGAGCGAAACCAGGCATGAAGAAATGAAGACGTGGGAATGGCACCATATTCACCGCCAGTTTGCGTAGATCCGCATTCAGCTGACCAGGGAATCGAAGACACGTTGTCACTCCCGACATCGTCGCACTCACCAAGTGATTCAAATCGCCGTATGTCGGGTTGGTCAATTTCAGCGTCCTGAAGCAGATATCGTAGAGTGCTTCGTTGTCAATGCAGAATGTCTCATCAGTGTTCTCGACGAGTTGGTGGACGGACAGTGTAGCATTGTATGGCTCGACAACGGTGTCTGACACCTGGAAAATACAGGCGTAAATTACAAGCTTTATGTTCTAGACCATCTATTGTTATAAAAGGAAAACAGCAGTTATTGCAATGCACTTCACATTCTATGATTCAATGCAGTGTACACAAAGAGATTAATTGTGATTTGGGTCTCAACATGCATATTCACCTTAGCTAACACTCCTTTGAAACTTTGTTGCATTTACCGTGTTACAAATTCAACCAGTTTCTAGTGAGCTCATGAATGATTAGTGTCTGAGATTATCTGGTAAACGAAGACTAATCACCCCTGTGCGTATATATGAATATTCAGTAAGTAACATTACATTAGTCACACACACCCTACTTATACTTCCTCATCTCAGTGAAGATTCCTTATTTCATATCACAGATTACGAGCTAAGCTGAGATTCCGAGATAATCTCGTCTCCATTTATTTGACGAATAATACAAAGCTTTGAAATTCAAAGGATATCTGGTCTTCCCAACATTCTATCCTTGAAATCGTCAATAATACTCATTCACATAAAATACAAATTCGCCTTGGAATCTCAAAGCCCTATTCACCTTAAGTCATCATGTAATATATAACAGTTTAAACCTGAAATTCTACTTCCAATGATATTCGTATCATTGAGATTAATTCCATGTTCACGATTATTAGTTTCCACGAATACTCACAAGACACGCGAGAAAAACTCGTGAAATATATTTTTCGAATAGCTACGTGCTTCGGGGGCATAGCGACCATACACACGGAGCGGGTTTTAATTTCCGGTCGACGCACTCCTTTACCTCGCTAAGCCAGAAATAATGCTGGTAAAGAGGAAAGGTTGGGCATGAGGCTAGCCACCCCAGCCTGTAAAATAAACACTGCTACAGAAACTTCAAGCAACTAGCTTGAAGCCCTATGTTCCACTGGGGAACGTGAAGGAATAAAAAATATCAGACACGCACTTTACTTACTTATCACAGAAATGTACTGTGTGACACATTTCAGAGTTAAGAGGTGAAAAAATGAAACGGGTCAACCAAGAAGTTGAAATTGAAGGTCAATGCAGTAAATATAAGAAAATACTACTCTGGACTAGCAAACTATAATTTTTAAAGTCCTTATGGTATAATGAAGACTCCTATTGATAACATAGAAGCACAGTAGACCATCTACTGAGAATAGGGCTTTGACGCATCTTAGATTTCGTCACATTTAGCCTTCAGTGGTCAATTTAAATGAGTTTTACACAATCATTTTACGTGACATTCCAGGTGTGTGTGTGTTTAGTGACTGGTCAACTCTATCGTGTATTTCCATCAATGATATGTTCAGGCAAATGAACTAACTTCCGAGCCCAATTTCCAATGTACCTGTATTTATTAGAATAGATGAATGTTATCAGCATATATGTGATCAGAAGTACAATCAGGTAAATGCCACTGGTTGTGACGTTTCACAACCAATTTCTGTGACAGTACTTCTATTTGCATCACGGTATCTGTTGTGTATGTGGGCTTGACTACAGATGATTAGGCACTGTACCATAACTCTTTCATATTGCCCCAAACAGATATTAGTAGAATCCAGATAATGCTATATTTACGGAATACTGACACATGTGAGAAGCTTTATTCATCAACTCAGGAATGAAGAACATTTGCCAGTGATATACAACCTCGCAGAACATTTATTTGAATCATAGCTGGGCTACAATCAACTGTCGCTTGTCACTAAGATATCATCCGAAAGTGCTTCCTAAAGAGAACATTCAATCCAGTCTTCGGACCACCTGAATAAGTGCTAAGATGCCGGCGACAATTCCTATCAGATGGTGCTGTTGTCGGAAAAACTCAGATGTCTTTCGATCTTAGCAGACATGACTTACCACATTCATGCACTGAGTGGAACGACACCGACTCTCATTTCACATTCTTCCCACCCAATTGAAGAGCCGAATATAGGGGACATGAATCGGAGGATTTGAGGCTATAACAGAGAGAATACACTCAGAAATGTGCTACAGTTTGCAAGGGTGCCTGTTACTAAGAGAAAACCAGTGCCACCAGAGAACGACTCCTGTCCTACCTATAACTGACTGATACCACAATTTACCAATTAATAAACAAACTACATCTGTAGACCAACTCCACATGAAAACGAGTGTATCTTAGTCAAAGAAATGACTAGAATAATACGATCCATTACAGAAAAGACAACAGTAATTCATGAATTTACAAGTCAATGACTCACCTTAGGAGACGGGACGACAGAGAATGTGTTCATTATTCGATCAGGATATTCCTCACGGATTTTCGAGATCAACAGTGTTCCCATACCTGAACCCGTTCCACCACCAAGTGAATGAGTCAACTGGAAACCTTGAAGGGAATCCGTGTTCTCCGCCTCCTTACGCATCACATCCAAGACTGAATCGACGAGTTCGGCGCCTTCTGTATAATGGCCTTTAGCCCAGTTATTTCCAGCACCACTCTGTCCAAATACATAATTGTCTGGTCGAAACAGTTGACCGAAGGGACCCGCACGAACACTGTCCATTGTCCCCGGCTCTAAATCTACCAATATGGCACGCGGAACGTATTTGCCTCCTGCCGCTTCGTTGTAGTAAACATTAATACGTTCCAACTGCAGATCTGAATCTCCATGGTATGCTCCTGTTGGATCAATCCCATGTTCGTCAGAAATCACCTCCCAGAACTAAAAATATCACATGTACAACAACAATAAACAACAATGAAAAACACATTTAAATCAGTCACTGAACTCTTGTCACTCACATACTTCCAAATTCAATTTTAATATGTTAATTATTCCATATTCCAAATATTCACTTCATGTAATCATCGCAACAATAATACTGATAATAATCAAATGAAAGCTATCGTCTCTATACTTTACGGTAAACAAATACCACGGACCCAGAAGTTCTGATTCAAAGTGAGTTCTGATGTGTGTGTTTTTCAAAGACATAAGAGATCTGAACAAATAACACCTTTTGATATCACTAGATACAGTCGATTTTGCTCTAGACCCACTGATGATTAAATAAATAAATTCGGCTAACCGAGTACTGAATGGGATTCTATCACAGTGTCCAACTTCTACTCTTGCAGTGATAAGAATAGCAAACAAGCTAAATTGAGTCCAACTTGATATGATTATGAGCGATAATTTGTGCTTGAAATGTCATCAATTAATATTAATGTATAACGCTGTGTCATTTATCAAAATAAAATCTTATCCATAATGGAGTTATACTCTACGACAATTCCCAAGTTTTATACTTATATCAACAAAACTAAACTGAGATTGATCGTCTCACACTCGACAAGTCAATAACCATTCATCATTCGACTACAAGTCATCATCTACTTCATCACACCAAAGACTAAACAAGCCCCACACAAATGCTTCTTCGTAAAGTAGATGCATGAAGGACAGGATTTTCGTAAAATACATTTTAGATGGAAAACCACCAGCTTACCTTCGATCCAATTTGATTACCGCACTGGCCAACTTGAAGATGAACGATTTCACGCATTGTATTGTATTGTAATTTGTGAGCCTAAGTTATTTGAGATTCGAGTGTTATCCAGACGTTTTAAGATAAAAGGCTGAAATAGCGTTTATATAAAAAAATGATCAGGTCATACGCCTGTGTGATTATGTGTGTCTGTTACAGCCTGCATGACCTGTACTCCCCTTCTTTGTGTGTATACATGTCTTTACATGTCTTCAATTGGTAGGTGACCTACGTCTGTCCTCCTACCTACTTTTCTTCCTATTCGTTTAAATCATTTTGTAGCATAGTAGAAACCCCAGTCAGATTGGTTAATGACTGTATCTCCGTCAGCCAATAACGGCAGATATGTGTAGTATTACTAATCATCGTCAGCCTAATGATATGACTGGTCTTTTGAAACCAGGTCATAGTTAGTAGATGCATTGATTCATTTCACTGGTGCAGCCAGCAAATAGCTTATTTTATCAGTCTTAATTTTGACTGTTAGTATTTCTATGGATTATACATCAGGTAGTAGTTAGAACCTGAAGGTCGACTGTGTTATTCTATTTAACTACCTATCCAGGTAGTGTATGTACATCACAGCACGTGTCGTTTTTCTCATAGAATCTCACAATCAATACTTACTTCTAAAATATGCTCAATTTCTTCTGTGTTATTGATTTGTCATTGTTATGAATATCAGTGATATAATTTGTTGAAGAGAGAATTTGAAACTCCTATTGACAAATGGTAGCTGACTTAGCCTAGCTTAGTCGTTTCAGAGGACACTCTTCATTCGACTATGTAGACATGAGTCGAAAGTAACTGATTCAAACAAGGTGATTGTAATGATTTCAACAGATATCAGTTCATTTTCATATTCACCTGTCCGTTGGATTAACAACATACCACTTGCCCTTTACTTCACAGTATGCCGCCTTGACCTCCGAACTTCTTATTTTCCAACCTTTAAGTCTACACACGTCAAGTTATTTGATGAATAAGTTTAATCTCCTGTAGAAATAAAAGGGGGTCCGCATTTATACAGAGCGCCACAGACTTTAATAGCGTTACTGTTATTCCCTTAGCTCCAGTGTGTAGCATAGAGCTTCGACAACACATCTTCATTTCATCCAATTTCTTGAGGTCCTCTTTAGCCGGTCGCACAATTACCTATAATCATTCCCCTCCTCCTCCATGTCACCGTCGGACGCCCACCTTATTGCTTCTTATTACGGTTCCGCTCAAGGGCCTTGTGAGATGTCACTCAATGGTCTCTTCAGCGTGTGCCCAATCCCGTTCCACTTCCTTCGGTATTTTTGGAGGGCGATAAGTCCTTGGTTAGTTCGTCCAATTTTGCTTAACCTTTTTGACTAACCAATTGAAGGTTGCTGTTGATAATAGTCTGAAGTTTGTTGGAAACGCTTTCCGTGATGCGCCAAGTCAAAGAACCATACAGAAAAACTGACTTGACGTTCATTCTCAATACTGCACATCACAGAATAGACTGTATCCTTCCTATGAACTGATAAGACACATAATCGTCATCTAGAAGAAGATGTCAGTCAGTCAGTCGCCTGTGAGTTGTCTAGTGAAATAGTGAGCAGAGATATCTCCCCTGTGAGTGAGAACTGCTTACTTCTTGTCAGACTTGAGAGCATTGTTAGCCTTCAATTCAAATGTATTCGACTAGATTACAGATTAATTCTACCTGAAACTTCATCGAGTATGCTTCTTCTCGCTATGTGGGAGTACTGATTAATTACTCACAACATTGATGCTGCTGACACTGGTTATGATGGTGATGATGAAGATCAATTTTGGCGGCAATATGAAGATGATGCCAATGCGTATGCACAAGACAATTGTGAGTGCTGATTGTAGTATATGAAAGAAAGGCAGATACAGGATGCATTCATAATCATTAATCTACGAAAAAAAGTGTTTAAGTATCCGGTTTACAGATTCGTTGGAGAAATTTAAGAAGTAAGATAGACGACATGGAGTGCAGAGTGTGGAGATGAGCAGTGAAATGTGATCGTCATCATGATGTTGCAGTAGACATTTTTGGTAATATAATTAAACTGGATTAAAATTGAATAAAATTAGGGGGGTGACTTTCAGTATCAGACTGTGTATACACGTACATGTGCACACTCAGAATGGCTAGCTCACTTACATATTAGCAGATAACCTAATAAATAATCTTATTTACAAATGGCCGTTCACCGGTTACGCACAAATGTACAACGTTTTAGAGTATGGAAGTTGGCGATCTACTTCACTCTATTCTTAGGTCAACAGGCATAAAGTAAACTGCAAGGGACCTTTTCCTCTATTTCACTTGCTTTTTATAATGGTCGGTACGTGTGTGTGTGTGTGTGTGTGTGTGTGTGTGTGTGGAAGTGCATAGCAAGTGAAAGGGACTGTGGTGAGATAATGGCAAGTAACACTTACGCTATTTAACAAAAAATCAAAATCTGGAGATTACATAGCATTCCATTAGGCAAGAAGACTTGTGAGCTGTGTGGGAATCGTCCTGTCATCGGGGAAGAATTTAAAGGAGATATAATTAACTTGGTTATTGCTGTACTGTGTATGTGTGCATAGATATTTTAAATTCATTCTATATATGCTTCAGATGGTATGCGCGAATTGGACAACAGTATCCTTCTGAAATGTTTCCGAATTGTTCTTCATCGTTTTCGAAGGACGTCATTTAGAAGAAATTCACTCTCAGTTACCTAACTATTTCACTTACAATACTTACACTGAAAATCATGACATCACCTTGATAAGACGAGGAAATATTTACACAAATACCTAACCTACATACTGAATGAATGGCTAGAACAAGTGGTCTTACACAACAACAAGTATCACCCAGTCAATCACCAGTGAATCCAAAACTAGAAAATAGATAAAGTAAGTAGTTCTGTGTGTCAGTTGATTGGTTTCCCATCACAGTGTGTAACAATGTACCAGTTCCCGTCCGTCTTCTTCTTCTTCTTCTCCTTCTAGATACCTGTCACACTTTCAGCCCCAAATCCACCATACACATCACTCTCTCACTGAATATACACAATGTCATCTCAGAGATAGGATGAAATCTACAATCATGTTGACTCTCATACAACTATCTTACTAATCACGGGTTGGTTGACTGACAAACTGAAATAAACCAGCTAACCGGTGAATTACTAAACCCACACAATCTAGATTATTCACTTCAATAGCAGATGACCTGAAAGTCGAACAATTCACTTTACAAATATCGATATTACGTGAATGTGTGTTTGATTTATTTTCACTTGGTTCAAATATTGAGATGTCTGAATGAAAGCCATGTATGTGTGTGTGTATATATGTGCATGCGTGCATATGTTGATTAAGTCAATAAATATTTTCTACTGAATACATTTATAATATCAGCATCTAATTCTTTTGAATACACTGCGTACTCATTGACTGATTCTCCTGACATCACTCACCCTCCAACCATCTCACGACACACTCCTATCGCGACGAATCTAATTCTCCCATAATTCTCATTCACTTTCATAGGAGCTTATCTCACCTGTCCACCTCAACGATGATGGTCGTCATACTTCCAGCTGTGTCTACCATCTCATCTCCATCACAACTGTCATTTGACTAACTGTGTTAAGTGTACTTAGAGATGTGTGTGCCTCTCCGTTGACGCTACACCATCAATCCTCATCTACATCTTCAGTTGCCCTCATCAATCTGATTCCTATCACTCACATCATCATCATCATCATGAACTTTTAATTAATTGAATCTTCTCGTCACTAATTCCTACACGGAAAATATGTGGTCAGTCTCGCCCTAATCTCAACACACTATACCCACTCATTCCACCCACCCCACAGTTATACACACACTCTCTCACACACAGAGACACGGCTAGCTGTCCCTCACTCATGAGTCAACACACAAATTTACACTCTATCATCTCATTTGACATCACGTGACACAGACAGAAACGTCAAAATCTTAAAATGGAAGTTAGATTACTGGAATACAGTGTGAAAATCTCCAATGCACACATCTGTATCCAACAGAGAAAACTGATGGTGGGAATACAAATCGAAAAGTGCAAACACGTGATGGATTGAATGATTACTTTGAGAATTCTTAATCAGGTGATGTGGCTTACAGTACACACATTGAGAGCAGATCTTGTGATGAAGAGTTCTCACCTAACTTATAATTGTGACATATTTGTTCAGATTGGAGAAAATATGTTTTACCACTGTGATGACCAGTGAGAAATAATGCGATTCTTACACCTATTTGAATCACGACTTCGTTGCTTACGATTTTCATTGATTATTAGTGCGTATCCGCCGGTGATATTGTCACTGTAATTTATATTGAGTGCTCGCAATGAAGATGACAACACAGTAAGCCAGTCTGAGGTTATAGACAGATCTAACCCGTAGCGGTTATTTTCATTTTACTTAGAGTGTTCATTGAATTAAACTTAAATGATTAGTCCTGATGAAGTCTGTAAGAACGTTGCTGAAAACCCAACTTTCGTCACATCCTCATTCAAGACATTAACAGTGTTCCGTGGTTTCTTAAAACTTAAATTTGTTTATCTTGACACTAACAACTTCCTTTATTTACCCACATGGAAAGCATTGTTTCAAATATAGGCGGACGGAACTGATGAGGATATCAAAGCCAGGATGGGGAAAGCAAGACAAGCTTTCATTACTCTCAAGTCTCTGTGGAGGTCAATAGCGCTTAGCATCAAAAATAAGATCCGGATTTCCAGCTACAATGTAAAGTCAGTCAGTGTACTATACGGATCATGAAGAGCATCTCAAACAAACTACAAACCTTCATTAACAGTTGTCTTCGCTCAATACTCAAGATCAGATGGCCGGTCAGAAAAGATCAGCAACAGGGATCTCTGGCAATGAGCGAACCAACACAGCAAGAACCGATTGTGAAACAAATAGGCAGGAAGAAATGGAGATGGATTGGCTGGTCATACTCTGAGGAAA